ATTTGTTCTCAACTGTTATTCTACTACGGTTAGATTGAAGTAAATAGCATGGTACAGGCATATGAATTTTATTTGTGTGGAAATTTGTGTAGGATTGAATATTTTATAGGGAGATGTGATGATCATTTAATGAACATAAAATATGTTGAAGTCTATTTTGTTCATAGTTTTAATTTAAAATTGCTCAAGAATATTTAAAGCCTGGCTATTTTCCAGAAGAAGGATGCTGATAATTTTTGTTTATTTCCCTAGAAATTAATCTTTTTTTGATAGAAACAGTTATTGAAGCAGTCATTTCTGCTCTCATTTAAGAATTTCAGACTCTTAATTTAGTCAATAAGAATAATGTTAAAATATACTTTAAAAAATTATTTATTTTTGTTTCCATGCTTTATTGCTGCAGTAATCAGAATGGAATTCTAACAAAAAAGTGTCAGTCATTAAAAAGTTTCCTAAACCTACTGTCCTTCCACGTTTTCCCTCAATTTTGTATCTTCTTTGTTTACTTATAGCCCATATGAAGGGTTAGCAAGTCCAAATTTAGATGTCTAAGTGTCCAAGCTTCACTGTTGCCAATGCATCTATCCCCAATAAATCAGTGGAGCTTCTTATCCTAAGTGGGCATACACTGGCTGGTCAGCTGGGAGATATCTAGCCCCTCATGACTTCTCTATTGACAAAGTCACTGCTGACATCACTGTGAAGACTTACTGTATTTAATTGCATTTAAACTTGTAATTTAATCCATGAAAGAGTGTAACACAGCCAGAATCTGTGAATGCTGTGCCATAGTCTGTAAAAGTCTGTACAGTTATAACCTGATTGTGGTGTAGTTACCATTGCCAATTGCAGGGCAAGATAGAATGTCTCTTAATTAACTTAATAACCTAATAGGTACATTTAGACAGGGCTAATTAGGACTTTCTTGTAATTGGGCTTATGATTAATAGACTGTGAAGACTGTTTCATTTGTATTGCATGCCTGGAAAGTTACAAGGAAATAAAAATTTGAGCCATCATTGAATAACTAATAGAAGACCTTAGGATAGCACAATAGTGAAAGATATAAAGAATTCTTTATGAAATATTGTTTATAAATTCTATATATTTTTATAAATAATTAATATATTAAACCACTACTTTAGACCTGGTGTTTCTTTTCAAGATCTTTTGCAGCCTCATTACACATACATGAATCTCATCCACAAATGAACTTTTACAAGTTATTCTTTTTAAGCAGTCTTAGTAACATAGTTTAATAAAACTAGTGAAGGTAGGAGCATATGAAGATACCTTTACAAGGTATGAAGAAAGAAGAACTGGTTTGCACAGTGCTAGGTAAAATCCATGAAGCAGATAACTGAAAGAGCGTATATAACCTTCCTGTATTTCTCATTCTGCCTTTAGATGAGGTAGAGCCTAATTTGGGGCAATAGAATTGGGAAACAGCAGAAACTGATGTATTCATCTGAGTGCTCTAGTCTGTAACCATGGAAGTTTCCTTTGGCCCCTTTCCTGTGCTCCAGTGTGTCTCAAGGGTGCACAGGGAATTCATAATTACTGACTTCTGAACTTCTTCACTTATTACACAGCTGGGAGGAAGAGACTGTGTGGAGTCCCCTGATAGAAAAGACAAAGGGACATAGAGTGAAAGGAAGACCTTGCAGTAGAAAGGAGATAGGAGGAGAGAGATTATGGGTAGTAAGCAGTTCATTTGGCAGCATGGAGACCCAGTCTGCCATGGCTTTTTATTTGTTGTTATGAGGCATGTTGTGCAGAGAACAATAGACTTGCCTTTTTTAAAATGTAGAAAATTTAGAAATTTGAGCTAAAAATGTGAGAAGTATAATTAGTATTTTAAAGAGACTTCTCTTTAGGTGTCTTGCATTTTTGTTTTTACGAGGAGTTGAAACTTACCTGATGATTTGTTAATGAAAAAATGAATCTCAGTTTCAATGATCTTGTCCCATTTTTGTTCTGCTTTTAATGCAGAGGCGTCTTCAATGAGACTAGTTGGTCTTTTCCCTTTTCTTTTTCTTGTGAAACCTTGCCTACTTAGCACATTGTGAGTCAGATCAGACTGCTGCTAACCAAAAAGGAATTTTATTTTTGCACCTTGTACACTTTAGTTTTTCTTAGTTAATACATTCACTTTTCTCATCTATTTTTAGAGACATTTTAAACATGTGAAAGTATATTTAGAGTACCATGTAGTATATTATTCCTACTGTCTATTAAGATGTCACCTGAGCAGCAGATGAGGTCATTAAATAAACTTTTGATCATTCAATCAGAAGTTTAAGTTAGTTTTGCTAGAAAATGGTACTAGAATGAGAATACCCTTTAGTTGATACTCCTAACTGTAACATCTTTTCACTTCCAGAGAAGCATGTATTTTTACTTAAAATATTAGGTGAATGCTCACTATGTACAGCTAATGTTGGTGAAGCTTTGTGCTTTTTTTTTCTTGTTGGGTAGCTCAGGTTCGTCTTTACTCTTGTTTTTCTTGCCCCTCCAACCCTCCCACCTTATGGCATAGCCAAGCAACTGAATGCGGGCAGCTAGCATATTTCCATGTAATTGCCAATTTGCTGGGGATGACAAAAGTCTCAAAGAAACGTGAACTTGAAGAGGACAGGTTGAGAGCTGGTCAGGTGGAGTTGTGTCCCTTGATGAAACTGGTAGAAACTGGTAATTGTGTCATTTGGCAAAAACTGGCAGAAGGGCAAAGGCAGTGAAGGTCATGGAGCTGTGATCCTATTTCCAGGATGTCTGACAGTGGGCGAGGCAGAAGGATATGGAAGAGAGATAACACCTTCACCTTGTGCATGTGAATATACACAGAGTATATGTCTGAAGCTATTGTTCTTGGAGTGGAGGTGATCTTTTCACCTTGTCCAGAGTTCAGGAACTCCATGGAAAGTGGTAAATTGGAGACCATTTCCAAACCTTGCTTGAAGCAGCTTAAGAAGTAGATTCCCAATAATTTCTTTACTCCCCTTTTGCAGTAGAATACTTGCAGTAATGAGTTTTGTCTTCTTTAAACGGCAGATTTTATAGTCTGAGTTGCCTTTGTGTTTGTTTAAAGTTGCATTTACTTTTAATGACATTTCTGAGAGTGCTTGAGGCAAATTAGTTTGAGGCTTATTACACAAAGTAGTAGGTTTTTTTTTTTTCTGAATTTCACACTCTTCAGTTTATGAGGATTTCAGCAATGTTATATTTATCACTCAGGTCTTATTATCAATATAACAGTAGATACAAAAATTGATACTTCTTAATAGAATCTAATTTCACATCGCCTTGATCTTTAGGTTTTTTGCTACATCTCAGAAGAGGTAAGGAATCCTGTAATCAATTTTTCTTTATTAGATTCATTTTTGTTACTTAAAGACCATTTAAAGACCATTTCTTCCTGATACAAGCAAATCAGTTATGGTAACAATCAAGTAGCGTTTTTCTTACATTGATATGTAGGCATTCTAAAACTTCTCATTTTTCTGTATTACCTTTTTCAATACTATGGTCATAATATTACTACTACTACTACTAATATTACTAATCTAAGACAAAAATAGTTTTCAAACCACGATTCGGATAAATTATTTAAATTACAAGTCAGATGCAACAGATTGGCACTTTTCCTTTGGTAATAGAATCCTCTGCAGTGGAATTACTACAGATATTGTGGTCCATTACAAGCACTAGATTACATCTTCCCATTGTCACTAATTCTGCATTTTGGCAAGGAGAAGAATTCAGGTTTGCTGTTAGTGTTGCCAAGCAACTAAAATATGAATTACTGCAATTTCTGAATTTTTCTTGTATGATGTATATTGGAGGGTTTCTCCTATCTTGGTAAGAGGCAGTCCAGATTAGTAAGTAGCTTAATTTCTCCCTGTGGAGTTCCAGTTCAAAACCAGGGACACCCAGGGTTTTTAATTTCACTGTGGATAAGTATCAAAAACGACATCACAGAAGATTGTGTCTTAAGACATGAAGTCAGATTGGGCATATTTTCTCCTTTTTGTCTATGAAGAGAACTTGCTATGCCTTATTAATCCTGCGTGCAGTTATTAATGTTTGCTGCTGTTTAGTATACTTCCTCTGAATTATCTTTTCCCAACACACTTAATTGATGATAATGTTAAGTAACTACTGACATTTGAAAAAAATTTTATTACATGAAAGTGTGTGAAAAAGATGATATGGAGATAGACTTAAATGCATTTAAGTTGTGTTAAGGTTTATGCTTGGAGATTGCTGAAGAGAGAATATATGCTCTGAATAACTTAGTTTATAGTTTTGGGGGTTTTTCGCATTTTTTTGTTTGTTTATTTTTATTTTGTTCTCATTTTGTTGTGCATTCCTGTAATTTTTTACTTCTGTGAAGTTTTTTCATTTAGCAGCAGCAACCACAGATCTGTAGAACTAAATGGGTTTCAGGGTCACCTCACCTGCCCTGAGTCATACATTTCCTCTCAGAGCACATGCGCAGAGCAGAGCCACAGCTTCTTTCTGGATTCCTAATGTGCTTTATGCCTAGGAAGCCAGAAAGAACCCCAGCAGACATAATGGACAGTGTTTCTTTTTCTGCAGCCCTGCACAGCCAAGGTGCAGAATAGCAGTGGGATAGCACCTATGTGTGGCATAGAAGATGCTTTCTTGTTGACATTGGCTTTATATCCATGTATGCAACAGTGTAATAAAATATTTCTTTATTTCTATACTACAGTATTTTTGAGGACTTGCTTTAAAAACCATCTACTTGTCTGATCAGACCTTGGAGTTCCCAGATAGGTATAGGTTGAGAACACTTCAGATATGAAACTTCATAGGATCAAGCTAGCAATAGTTGAAGAGGTGGTTGTTCCAGCTGTTTTCTTCAAATTTGAAAACAAACTTTTCCTTTATAAATACTCATTTTCTTTTGGTAAATACAGTATTAGTTTAGGTGCAATATCTCACTAATTTTTTTGTTTTGGCTTAATTTTCTAAAGGAGTTGATGACCAAGCTGATAACGGAGACACCTGACCAGCCAATCCCATTTCTAATTGATCATCTTCAGTCCAAGCAGGGAAACCATGGTCAGCTTCAGAGAACATTGTCTGGCTCTGCTGCCCTCTGGGCAGAGAGTGAAGCATCAGGTATGTTCTGTGTGCTAGAAAGGGCTGGTCTCCAGTATAATCTTCCCATACTTGTGTCCATGATTTCCTGGATGCACATGTACCTACTGAACAGGGACTGCTTTGTGGTTTTGAGCATGGAGAATAAATCCCTTTTATCCAGCAGATACTGAATTTAATATACATTGCTGTCTGTCAGCTCAGCCTAGGTATATATCATGTGAGTATGCATCAGAGTTACAGAATGGAAACAGTCCCAGTCTCAATGAGAGAGGTTCCCTTACTCTTTCTTTGTTTTCTTTTCCCCTCCCACAGTATATCTATGCCTGAGATTAAACTCTATTGAGATATTTTCTTTAATAATACATGTTTTTATGTACCTATCATCCCAACCCTTAATGAGGAGCTGCTGTGCTACTTTATAAACTCTAGTGTGAATTATTTATGATTGTAAATCTTCAGAAGCATTAAAATTATATTCTGAAGTCGTATCTGCTCTTATTGTAAAGCAGAAGTCTTGGTTTTCATATTCTGGTACAAGCTACTATTACAATATTAGTTTTGTGTTTAAAAATTGGCTAATGATCTGTTTCAGACTATAGAACTTAAATAGTTATTGCAGCCAAAGTATTAATTTGCTGACAAATTACCAATTTATATCAAATACACAGTTTTAACATAGGCAGTAAAACATGTACGTAACATGGACATTAAGGACTTTTTCATAACAAAAAATTGACCTTTTTAATGAAAAACATAATAATTTCTAAGCTTTGATATTTAAAAAGTTGAATAAATATAATAAATATAAAAGAAATCAGAAACAGAAGGAAAAAAAGAGCTATCTTTAATTTGGATTGATATACCTTGTGAGTTTTTTTATTATTTATTTGTTAATTCTCTGAAAAATGACTCTACAAATGTTATGATTTTCTAATTTGATTCTTTTAACAGAAAATAAAGGAACAAGAAGAGATTTTAGAAATTATGATAAGCCTTGGCAGGTAAATGCAAAAAAGCCTAAAAAGTCAAAGAGCGACCTTGCTGTGTCCAACATTTCTCCACCATCACCGGAGTCCAAGTCATGTAAGAAAGTTTCACTACATTAATAATTTGTGCATACCTTTTTCATATGCATAAGGTTTAAAATGGAAAGCAAACTGTGTGCAGATTAAATACCTATATATATATGTATATGTTAGAAGTGTTTGATTCTTGCCTTAATCTCACTTGAATTATAAATACTTTATAATTCCCTATGTTGTCATATGTAGATATAAAAGAATTCTGGATAGGTTGATTAAAAGCCAGAGTATCATTTGGGTGTCATGCACAATTTTATTATGGTTTGGTGTTTTAGTTTGTGTTGCCATTTTGCAGGTGTAAAATCTCTTCTGTTGATATTGGTGCTAATAGATTTTTTTCTGTGTGTCAGGCAATTCAAAACTATGAAATATGAACAGATACTTTTCAAGGTATAGGAGCAGTGTCAGCAGAACAGGTGTACTGTTCTGAGAGTTGCTGAAGGAATCTAAATGTACATTGGAAGAAAAGGCAGAGTAAAAATAGAGCAGCTGAAGAGAATATTATCAACTACCTGTAAAAAATAAGTAAAAATGAAGAAAACAAGCCTTAATGAAATACGCTTCCTGTGTACTGGCTATTGAAGAAATCTAATTTTTAAGCTTGATTCTTAATGTTAGTGTTTTTTTACAAAATAAATATATTTACAATATGCATACATATATAAATATAGTTACACAACCAGGGAATTGTTTGGACAAGATTTTTCTCCAAAATAAATTGAAAAATTAGATTTTCTTCTGTTGACTCTTTTAGCTTTTTGATATAATAGACAAATCTTTGTAATGTGGGGTGTAATGGTGTGTACCAGATGAGAACAGAGATATAGTATGGTGCAATAGAAAATCTGTTGTCTTTCCTCTAAAAGCGATATGGGAAAGTCTAGACTTAGGAGTCAAGGAAAATTGCCCAGCGATCTCACTAAGTCAAAATACTACACAGCAACGGGTAAAGTAAATCATGATGAATTTATGCAATACAAGTACTGTGCTTTTTATAGTCTTGTATGATTATGAAACATTTTTTACTGTGAATAAATAACTGCAACAAGTAAAAATAGCTTTTACAGGTAGCTGTGTCCCATTGTACAGGATTTTCTCAGGATTATATTTTTCTAGAAATTGAACATTTGTCTCTTTTTCTTCTTCATGAAGCACATTGCCTGCTTCAAAAACACTTGAATTTGGTCATCATTTCTATTGTGCCTCTCAATGGACACACAAATTTTTCAGTCTGTTCAAAAGAAGCATGTGGATTTTAATTTATTTTCAAGAATAAATAGATCCATTCCAATAAATGCTCATAGTCACTCAGTCTGTGTCTTATCTAACGGATTTGCTGGATAATAGCAATTTATGGAGATTTAGTGTTAGAAACAGTAGGCAAAAGGTATTGTGAGCTGTTCCCGTCCTCATACTGTGTTCCTTCCTTCTGCCCTGTGCTTGCTTTTCAGACTCTGTGGTATGCATCAAATAACTTTCATGCCATCTCCTAAAGATCTTGAATTCTCTGCCTTTATCCCAGATAGAGGGGGATGACATCATGTCACTCCCTTCAAATGTGTGCCTACTACAAGTTTTGTGCTTGTTAGTCCATAGGTTGTCCCATTAGAGGGACAAAGAGGAGGTTGGGCATTCTAAACAGTCAGGTCTCATGTCAAACAAGGAAATATTTTCATCTGTAAGACATTCAACATTCATAAGACAACTAGGTCAAGGATCTGTCCTTGTGGACTGAAGGAAACTTAATAATACTCTTCAGTTGGTAAGACTTACTCTCAAGCTATCTGGGTCTAGAAAGAGCATGTGGCAGTGCAGTTTTGCCTACAAAGGAGGTACAGTTAGGATGTGCTTAGTGCAACTGACATTCATAAATACGTGGCTGTACATGGGATTGATTCTAAGCATGCTGAAACAGGAGACTAATATCATTGCAAGGCCATTCTGTCATCTTTGAAAGGTCATAGCTATTGTGGGATGTTCCTGATGATTAGAAAAAATGCATTGATTTTGAGGAAGGGCAATCTGATCAGCCTAACCTCACCCTCTGTAAGGATTATTGAGCAAACTTTCCTGAAAGGTGTTCCTAGTCACAAGGAGAAAAATGTGATTTGGAACATAAAGCATAGATTTATGAGACCATATATGTCTGATCAGATCAATACACTTGCCCTCTTAAGTGCTATAACTGGCTTTGTATTCATAGAAATAGCAATAGATGTTTCATACCATGACTTTAGCAAAACCTTTGTCAGCTTCCTGTAGTATCCTTATTACGCAGTTGATAAGATATGGACTCAGTAAGTGGACAAGATGATGTATGGAACGTTGACTCAGCTGGTGGATTCAAGGCATTGTGACTAGCAGTGCTGCAAAGTCCCATTGGAAAGTCTAACTTTTGCGGCATGCTGAAGGGACTGATACTGAAATTGATACCATTTAAAAGAATTTCCTAATGCCTTGGATGATGGGATAGAATTTCTTTTAGGTCTGTGGTTAGACCAAATTGTGGGTAGTGGTTGGTATTCTGGGTAGTAGGACTGCAGAGGAATAGGACTAAGGAATGGGCTGAGAGGTATTTCTTGAAGGTTGACACAGGCAAATTCAAAATCCTACATCTTGGATAGAATAACCCTCATTTGTGTGGGATTTGTGTGTCTAGAAAGTAGCTTTGCAGAAAAAGATGTGGGATGCTGATGGATAGTGACTTGTAATATGAACTAGCTGTTGCTGTGTGCTCATGCAGTGCTCAACATGACCTACATGCCAGGCTGCAGTAGCAAGAGTAGAGACAGCAGTGTTTGATTTTGAGGTGGCATCTGGAGTCCATTGTGAGAAACAGTGGTGTATTGGAATGAGTCTTGTGGAGGTTCACCAAGATGATGACAGGACTGGAGCATGTGATGGACAATAAAAAGCTGAAAGAAGTTGATTTGGTCACACTGAAAAAATGAAGGGGAGATTTCATTGTTACCATCAGCTAGTATGCTGGAGGATGAACAAGAAGGCATAGTCAGATTTGTTTTCTCAAGAGTGTTTAGTGAAAGGACAAGGAAAGAATTATACTGCAAGAGTAGTCAAACACTGGAACAGGTTGTCCAGAGAGGCTTTGGAATCGCCATCATGGGGTGACCTGAATAGTCTGAGCAACTTGCCCTCAGTGGACCATTCTAGGGCGCCAGGTTGGGCTAGAAGACTTCCAGAGGTCCTTTCCAGCTTAATTATCCTCTGCTTCCATGCTTTGCTGTTCATGCATTTCCATTTTTTTTCCATAACACTGATTTATTTAAACCTTAATTAATCCTATTGGTTTCATTACTTACACCTGCAATTACTTGTATCTGCAACTTTTTGAAAATTGTGTATTTGAACTACATTTTCTTTCAGTTGCTATTGCAGATGTTGGTTTCAGACATGTGCCTTTTTGCCCCATCTTGCTTCTCTTATTTTCAGCCAAATGGATTAATATTCTTATATTAATCTATATCTATGGGTATAATCTGTATATATATAGATTCATATTCTGAATGTGCTTTTGACATTTCTATCTTTCTGGTTTGTGCCAAAATCAGCGGGTACCATATACCCCTTCAACTACACAGATCAGTAAGCAAGTGTATTTAGAAGGAATTATGTCCTAATGTGCACGCCATATTCCATTTGTTTTGTGTCTTCAGCTTCTGCCACCTGTATCTTTTTTCACAAAGCATCTCCAAAGAGGTAGTAAGGACTCATCTGAGAAACAGAAAGTTTTGGACATGCAGAGACCTAAAGATTTACTCTTAGATTTCTGTTTAAAAGAAAAGAACAAATCCCCACATCCAAGAATCTAAAAAGTACATTCCCAAACTTCCAAAACAAACCCAAAATTTAATGGAGTCCATCAGCTCTATTATGTTCTGTTTCAGAGTTTTTGTCTTGTGACTGTCTAGTTCAAATGATCAGTAACTTTTACATTTATTCAGAACTATCATTTCATAGGAATCTTTGGGAACATGAGGGTATTTGATTTATTTAATTCGGAAATATTTTTTTCCTTCAGCAGAGTGATGTTGACTGCAGTGTGCATGTTATTCCTGCACAAATGTCTCTTCATTATGCTTTCAACTTTTTTACTGAAAAAATACCTCCACTCTCTTCTGCCTGTTATCTCCTGAAACACATAAACATTTTTAATATCTAAGCAATCTGACTACTTGTTTGGTGTGTGCATAACCAGAGTTAACCAGAAGCTGTTGCTGTTGTCTGGTTAGGAAGAAGCTTGGAGCTAGGGGTGTTTGTGTGTATATAAATGAAATGTTTAAATTATAATTTAAACAATTTAAATTATTTAAATTTATTCTGCATCTGAAGAAAAACAAATTTGGAAGTTTCAAACTAGTTTGTTAAACAGACATTTTTGTTTCCTAGCAAGCTACTTTTAGGCAAAGTTGGTTGATCTCTTCACCACTTCCATATTAAATCAGATCACAGATCATCATTTCATGCTACTTCCATTTAGCATTCACATCACATCCCAAATGCAAGTACAATATTGCATGCTTCTAGTTGCTCTTGGTCAGTCTAGGACTGTAGGCTGTCATTTTAGCCTTTTAATATCCAGATACTATGTAAACCATTTTGGATTTATTATCTTGGAACTCCAACCCGAATGCTATTACAAGATTTAAATACATGAGTAATTTTACCCTCAATTAGATTATACATATTTTTGTTCTTTGAGATGTAAGATGGCCATACAATGTATTAATGAAATGTTGGATTTAATGAGCAATTGGTCTGATTCTGTCTGCAGATCATGCATTGAAAAGACTTGTATGGGTTTAGATAAAACCAGATCTTGTACTGTCATCCAGTAGGAAATAAAGGTGTGCTGATTTGTGGCAGAATTCATAACACAATTGTAATTAGATCTAATTTGCATTTATGGTCACGGCACGCCACCAGAAAATCAGAAATACTGGCAAATGTGTCTGTCCAGTCTCCTAAGATGAGATGATGAATTCTCAGCTCCATAAAGGGAAACTCTATTTCTTTCAATACAAATGCTACAATGTAGATGTAATAAATCTTCTGAATTGTAGGCAAATAATTTCAAGAGGAAGTGTCCTATAATATATAAATCTCTCAAATAACAAAGATGAGGTTGAGGTGGGTAATGTGATAAGAGATTTGAAATTACTGATACCATTTTGTGGAATGAGTGAGCATAATAAAGATGAAGGTCAGAGTATAATGAAAGGATTTTGCTGAGTGTGTGGTGACACGTGCACATAAACAATTAATGACGGACTTCCTGCATACAGAGGAGGATCACTTATTGGAAAAGATTCCTAAGAAGAGTCATATGGTGTTTGTACAGTTCTGAATGCTTCCGACAAAGCCATTCATTTGAAAATTACTAGTGCCTGTTGATCCTAAAGCTAAGACTTTATATATATATATATATATATATATATATATATATATATATATATATATATATAAGGGTTTATATTTTGAAAAAAGTCTGTAAGCAAGAAGAAAATGAACTTGGAAGAACAAACATGTGCCACATGATGCTACTAAATAGATGTTGGTTTAGTACCATTCATTATTTGAAAGACTAGGTAAGTAGGAAGAACTGTATGTCTTCTCTAGAAGTGATAAAAATTTCAGTCAGTTCTAATTCTGCTTATCTTCCTCCTATGTTTTGATTCCTCAGAATGAGCCAAATCATTGTTGAAGTAAATTGTATTTAACATAGAAATAATTCATGACAGCATATCTGTTTTGGTACTTTTTCATTGAAGTACAAAATGATTCAGTAAAACATAGCTGATTGTCCACCAGCATGCAAAGCAAATTTCCACCATGGTTTTGACTGATTTCCCACTATCCATCTAGTGAACTGCAGTCCAAGCTTCCTGTGTTTGTGAGACATTTCTCTAAAATTTGTAACTAGGTCACTGTCTTGAGCAAGTGTCCCTACTTTTCAAGAACAAGAGTCTTAAGACTTTCTTTTTTCCTGATGCGAGTTGGTCCATATACTTGGCAGTTGCTGATCCTGGAACTTGACAGCTGTCAAGTAAAACTTATATTTGTTTCATCCAGCTTCTGTCCCATGACAAATTTTTCTTCAAAAGCATATGGTTTCTCAAAAATCCTTCTTTATTTTGAAAAATGTGTTTTGTTTCAAACTGCCATGGTATAAAATTCTAGCTTGTGGAAATTTTCTGCAACCTGGAAGCTCCAAGGTTTGGTCATCTTTTTATATGGTTTTACTATATTAAATTGTTGCCTGATTGCATTCTGATGGTACTGTGAGATTTTTTTTGGTGTGGCAAATTTAGCATAAACATAGAAAGGAGAGTCTGTTGCACTGCTAATGAGTGATTGCTGTAGAATATTGTATTGGCCCAAAGAAAGATGATGGTAAGATGACTGCAAAAGGACTCAAAAGGACTGTGTGATCTTAATGTAAAACAAAGGTGGGTGAAAATAGAGAGAATTCTTTATAGAATTTATTTTCTAGTTTATTAAAAACTTATATTTACAGTTAGTAATAATTTTGAAGAAATACTAGGTGGAACATTTTGTTTTCTGTAAATAAGCAAAAGAGGATGAGAAATGCTGAAGTTGTGCAGTTTAATTTGTATATGCTACAATGTGTGAATGGAGTCAACTTCTGTTAGACATGAATTTATGTACCTTTTAATTGACTTAGTAGTTCTTAAACCAGGGAATTATAAAATAGTGTTTGAAATTTATAAGTATCAGAAAAAAATTACAAGCTGCTCATCTGAGTAGAGACTATTCATACTCTAATACCTTAGAGTCTGTATGTATTTACTGGGACCCACTATAGTTCATTATTTCCATTGTCCTGAGAAGGAAATATATTACTTGCCTTTTTTGAACACAGAGCAGAACAAGACTCTGACACTTCAACTTGCTCCTCTCTTCCCTTCTCCTTTTTGAGGGTTCTTGTGTCCCTTCTATTCTTATCACTGTAGGTCTTTTTAAATGTCTCTTTTGTCTTCTGTCTTTGAGAATGTCTGTAATTGCAGTCTAATACATTAACTTCCCTAATAGCAAGGTTCCTGAGTGGGTATTACAGATCAGGATGTACTCTGGGTTATCAGTCTCTCCATAGATGTCTGTTTTGAAGATAAGTTGGTTTATGTCTACAGGAGGCAGAATCGTGTTATTTGTGAAAGAAGGACTTCAGCATAACTTTGTCCAATTTCTTTTCCTGGAAAAGGTGCCAATTTACTTAATTGCACAAGGGAAAGTTGAAGTTGATCCAAAGTGGAGCAGTTTATATATTCACACAGTTCTTTAACACATTTTGTAATAGCTACCAGACTTGATGTCTGAGCATGATTTACCCATACTATTCAAAAGAGCAGTCTGAAGTTTCAAATTATCATGAAACCACCTTTTTAACCCAAGCTATAGGAGTCTGTAAGTTGCCTTCTTTGCATGTAGTGAAAATGATGTTTAAAAGCATAGATTAGTTGACAGCTGTCAAATTAGTAAACAAAAATTCTGAAGCTGGCCAGGATATATTGAAAATTTTAGGCTTTTCTTTGAAGTTATTTTTAAGTGAGTGGTCAGCAACTGGTAAAGGGTGGTTGGTAAAAATGCAACTGGTCCTTTCTGGTGGAAAGGTGGATTAGACATCATCTTCACACCAGCATGGTAATGCTGTGTTTGGAGGCAACCCAACAGTTGCATTTATTGGCAAAAGCAGCAGCTCACTTAATTCTGAACGCTGGCAAAAAGAACATGTTAAACTGCAGTTCCAGAAACAGCATTGTTTTTGTTTTAATTTCTACAAATTGTTGAAAATGTTCACATTGTTCAAAGAAGCTCTGTTCATTGTGTGTCCTGTATATCTCAGACACTCCTCTTCATTGTAGGTAAACTTAGCTCAGCAGTTGAGATACTGTTATTTTAAAATTAGAGGCTTTGGTAATAGATAATGAGCAGCAGATTGTAAGCTCAGGTCTGTGCTTCCCAAAGGCTGAGTTTTAAGTAGTGCAATGAAGATTAGAGGCTGTACAACATGAATGACAAGGACTTACTTTGTTTCACTGTTTTTTATGAAGTGTGTTATCTATACTTTTATGATTTTTGAAAAAGAAAAACGTTGTTTTAAGAGTTATATCTAAATTATTTTTTTCTTGGTAAAATAACTAGCAAAGCCAAAGGTACTAATTTTTCTTTCAACATTTTTTCTTATTGACCCCTAGGCCACACAATTCTATTTTGTTGTAAATTAGGTACCATCATGTGCAATAGTTTAAATACATTTTTTTATTACATTGGTTTTATTATTTTCAATTATTAATGTTAATGATCCTGTTTACCAGTTAATTCATTGCAAGAATAATTCAGGTATGCATTTGTTCATAGATGTTTTAACTTCACATTAACCAAAGAAAATATTTCCAGCAGTTAGAATAAAAGAATAGCTAAGTAATTTCCACCCAAGCTACTTGAGTTTGTAAACTCACTATGCAGATTTTTTTCTACTGTAGGAGTCGGAACTGCCAAATCTAAACTTCATCTATATATCTGTGTACATTTAGTGCCAAGGTCAATAGAGCATCCTAAATGGGATTGGAAGACAAAACCGGAGAACCATGAGTTTGATGAACTAAATCATATTCTTCAAGAGAGCAAAAAGCTTGGAAAAGCCCTTGAGAATCTGTCTCACAGTAAGTTGATCGATTTTAGTTTTTTAATGTAACCATGCAGCCTGGATTGTAATTTGGATATACATACCAGGAAGGTGGTCTTCTATTCAATGAAGACCAAGGTCATTGACATCAGCACTATCCTGTTGGTAAGGTTTACAGATTGTCTGAGATAATTCAGGAGCTCTCCTGGAAACTGAAACTACCTCTGCACCACCTTTTCTTTTTTTATTTTAGTTTTCTACCAGTTTAGTGAGCTGAATTAACTCATAATGGGATCAACACAAGAGGCTGGCTTAATGAAAATGGTGGGAACGTATAGCAGGGAGATTGCTCCTTTGTGTGGTAGTTAAAGGGGATCAACCTTTGCAAAACCTTAATCTCATTGATGGAGTTCAGACCTGTTATTGAAAAACATTTAGCTATTTTGTATCCTTGATTTCATTGACTGTTGTAAATGCAGGTGAACCCGGTGGGAAGAAATACTGCTGTCTGACTCCAGTTCAGAAGGCTGAATGATTTCTTTATTATAACTATACTATAATACATTAATATACTATTTAAAGGAGACACTAAAACTACAAGTCTACTTTTTCTAACTACCATATCTAACTGGCTCACAGCTTGTGACCCTCTAGTGAGAGTCCATACACAGGTGGGTTGGATTGGCCATCAGGCCCAAACAATCCTCACCAGAATCCAATCAAGCAATCACCCCAGGTAAACAATTCTCCAAACACATTCCATATGGGAAAACAAGGAGCAGAAATAGAAATTGTTTTCTCTTTCTTTCCTCTGTGCTGCTCTATGAAAAAATCCTGAGAGAAAGAAGAAAGTCCCTGCGACAATTGACTTTCTAGTTTTCTAAAGAAATTAAAACATTTTAAAGCATCTCAAATAAATACTCAGAAACATGAAATACTGTTATTTCATAATAAACCCCATGTATTATCCCTTAAACACTTGTGTAATGAACAGCTCCAAGGCTTACTGGGTATGATCAAGAATAGCTGCTCTTTTTTTTTTTCCTTTTACTTTCTCTCCTGTAGAAGAGAATTTTGAAATACATTTGTGGGAGCAAATACTGCTAACAATTTTTAAAGTATGAAATGATGACAAGTACTCTTCGCCATGCTACATGAAAACTAGGTGTGGCATGATCTGGGAGATATTTGTGTGTGAGAAATATTTATTTCTTCTCTCATTAAATTTTATCCCTGGAAGTTCTTGATTCTCTGGAAAATTTACAGATAGTGAGGTCAGAGAGAGCTGAATGAGGAACAGAAGATTTGTTTTGCAATTAATTTTGAGAATCAGCATTTTTTCAAATTGTGCCAAATAACCAAAACTAGTTTTCTCAAATAACACTCTCCCAAATGTTTTACGTTGATCACGACAATTATATTCTGAGCAATTTTCAAACTTGCATTATAGTTACAGAGCTTTTTTGAAATACTTTTCTAGTAAATTGGTCTCTCTGCCTGTAAGGAGCTAAACAAACTCTGGTCAGCATCTCTGATTTGCAGCCTCACTGTTGCCTGACTGTGATGGATGCGAGTATCATTTTCAAGCTTTTCTACTTCAGACATGTAGCCAAGCTATGCACAGATACACAAACAATATTTTGAATTTCAGAAAGGCTTATTTATTGCCCCTGTGGAGATACAAATCAATCAGGTGTGAGAGTTCAATAATAAATGCCTTAATCCACTCTTCAATCCTGCATCTTTGTCTTTCCTTCAGAATATTGTGAAGGTTCCACTTTTAGCTAGAATGATACCTATACTTCCTTATACCTAAAATAAATTGTGCAGCATTCTGTACCTCTCCTTCCCCACAGTTTTCTAACTAGAGTGTAAAACTCTGCAGCTCTACTAGGTCCTACACTTGGACTGGGTCAATGTACCTGGTCAACTTTGTTGAAGTCTGTTTTTCATAGTTATTTCACAAGTGAAACATTTTTCACTGTTTCTCACTAGTACTTGATGCTTTCTGGTGGTTTGTCATGATAATATGGGAATTGAATCCCATCCCCCAGAGTGCTTTAAATCACTCACAGCCTGATAATCAGGTCACTTTCATGAATGTGCTCTCTATTTCTTCATCTAGATCATTAATGGAAATATTGTCAGACCTCTTTATGATCCCATTTCAGATCTGACAACCAGCCCTTGAAAGCTACCCAGTAAGAGTGTTTGTTCCCACCAGATGTTTTTCTGCCTTGCAGTGTTTTCATGTAGATTGTAATTCTCGAATATTTTTTTACTGAAGTATCATTTATGATAGTAAACAGAGTCTTATAGCTGAAGTATTTTGCATCTGCTTTTTTTTCTTATCCACTAGGCAAGTTTCCCAGTTGAGAATGCAATTAGACTAATTTAATGTAATTCATTCTTGATAAATTCATATCAGCTCATTCTTATCGCCTTTCTATTCCATTAGATGTTGATACATTATTTATTTAACAGCTTTGTCTATGATTCTTGCTGTTGTCTGATTTAGGCTTGGTAGTTAGTAGTTGCCCATATCTTCCCTTTTTCTTTTTCAAAGATATGTATTTGCCCTTCTCTGGCCTCTCTGTTCCTGAAAGACAGTTGCTAATAGATTAGAGGTTTCTTCAGTTAGTTAGTTAAATGCTCTAGAGTGAATTTCACAAGAGTCTGCTAATTTGAATGTATCTAAATCATCAGTGTATCTTTCAGCTTCCCTTGTCTGACTTGCAGTTTTTCCGCTTAAAACCACTGCTGTTAAGCATCTGACCGCGACTGATCTTTTTTTTTCGGTAAAGACTGAAGCATGGAAAGTATTGAACACTGGGAATTCTTTGTGTCATCTCTTATTTGCTTTCCTTCTCTTTGATGTAATAGTTCTGTATTTTAATTTGTTCTCCTTTTCAAGTGTATATATAGTATCTTTTTTAATGGCTTTTTATGTTCTTTTATAGTTGTTAGTTACTCTGCACTTTAACCTTTTTTTCTTGTTGCTATCATTTAAGTAGTTGCATCAGATTAATTCTAAGCTGTATCTCCTTGTTTCCAGGTTTTGTTCTTCTGCTTTTCACTTAATTTCAAGAAATAAAAAAATCTTGGCTATTATTTCTTACATGATATTGAAAAATCTAAATGAAAAATTTTGTAAATAGAGAAAAGGTAGAATTTTGAAAATAAATCAGTTTTAGTTCTCACAGAGATAGAATAGAGATTGCACACAGGAAATACCTTAGGGGGCTTCAATTAATAGAAGGTCTAGGACTTTAGAAGTATAAGGTGCATGAAACTCATTCTGTGCTGTACCCAAATGAACATCCCATATGATGAATTTTAAAAAAGCCATCACAAGATCCCACATCTACCTCTCCTGTTGCTTGTTTCAGGCAGGCTAATTAGTGCTTTTTTTTCTACAAGCATACCATGAGTTTAGTACTGCATTTGATACCAATCTTATTTTGAAGTGGTGTGGGATAGACACTGGGCTCAACAGCTGTGTACACAAATGATCAAAAATGTACTATTAATGGCTTTTTACAGCACCCTGTCTTTTTTCCTTCAGTGTTTCAACAGTGAAGAGTGACACATGAAATGAAATGTTTGAAGTTAAATGAATTTTCCATCAAGTCCTGGAATTTGTTTACATTTTAAAGATAAGCTTTGGATCTTTTTGTGAGTTTCCATGAGTTTGTTGCCTGTTAGGCAGCTGACATATCCTGTGAATTAAATTCTAGTTTCTGTTGCTTAATTTACTATGCTGTCTAGATGCTTTGCGACAAACTTGTGCACTTCACGCAAAATTAGAACTGCCTGTAAGATTTGGAAGGCGAGACTCAGGCACATAGATGTCTGGTCTCTTCTATATTAGTTCCTAATGATTAAAACTGAACTTGCTTTTATTTGGACCCTTTCTCCCAATCCCTGTCAAGAGTAAATAATTCTGTGCTTCAGGAGGTCTGAGAAACCAACAAGTGACTTCACACTCAGAGCTGAAAGTATCTTAGGAGTTTTGAGAGTCTGGAGAAGTTTAATTTTGTATTATGGTCCAAGTGTGGTGGAGCTTGCTGATTTAAGTACACAATTTTTCAGAGGCTTACCCACATGGGAGAACTGGATTTCTTTGCTTCTTCAATCAGCTGTATGTAATTGAAGTGGATTTTGAACTATCAAGTCATCTATTTAGGGAAGATTTTGGTTTGTGAAGCAACTTACAGGAATATACTGCATTTCCCTTGTGCATGTTTAATTTTCTTTTATTGCAAGGTCTCCTACCTTTATTGTTGTCATCCTTCTTCCTGTGATGATCATAAGGAAGAAAAATTATATCCTTTTTCAAATATATGCTCTTGTACTTCACTTTCTGGCCTGTTTGCCTTTAAACAGAATTAAAATCTGTAAAGCTGAGGATCTTGCTGATGAATGCCTTTGATCTTGCCTTTGTCCTTCCCCTATTTTCTGAGGATGGAAAAACAGATAACAAGATATAGAAACCAGTGAATTATGAGAGTTTTAAGTAGGGGAAAATTGAGAATTAAATCAGTGAGGTCATACTGCAATTAGGTGGGAAGCCTGCATACTTGATGAACAATTTTGCATCTTTTATACAAATAGTTAAGGATTAGAGTGCATATTGAAAATGTGTGCATATTGAAGTGCTGGTAACTGCATTTGATTAAAAAATATCTTCTGCTATGAGATAGGTACTGTTTCATAATCAAAAATAGCCTTTTAGTGAAGATAACTGACATTTTGTTAGTAATGTTTGAATGCTTGTTCAGGCCAGGTGTACACTTCAGATCAGAGGGGAAGAAACAAATTTATCATGCTTTGAATTCAGTTGACGTTCTAAAGTCAAAAAATGGTAGTAAGTTAACATTAACCAAAACTACGAATCCAAGTCAGTTTCGGAGAATCCCTGAAACAATGGTATCTACATATAACTAACAGGATAAAAATCCTCTTTTGTTTCCTAACTTTGAAGGGGAGTAATCAGTAAACAATCAGGAAATGAGAAAACCATGTTTTCCATCTAGT